GGATTCTAAATCTCCACATTCTTACCAAAATTTATTATTTCTGTTTTTTTAAACTATTATAGTTATCCTAGGGGGTATAAAGTGATACCTTATTGTGGTTTGATTTGATGACTAATGATGTTGAACATCTTTTCATGTGCATATTGGACATTTGTGTATCCTCTTTGGAGAAATGTCTATGCAGATCTTTTGCCCATTTAAAAATATTGGGTTCTCTTTTGATTATTCAGTTCTTCATCACTGTATTACTTGAGCAAATAAATATCATAAGCTTCACCTAAAGCTCCATGGTCAGTAAAATTCACCTACATTCTGGTGCTATGTAAAGTACACTGTAGTATGTAAAATGTGAACATCACTGAAGCCCATCATGGTGACTGCTGCCCATGTGTTCCAGAGCTCTGATCCCATTCAGGACACAGATCAGACGTCTCTATTCAATCATATCAGCATTTTGTAAGTCAGTAAAGCCCAAAAACCCTAATTAAATTTTGTCAAATTTTAAATAAAATATATCACAATGACTTGATATGCGATTAAATGATTTAGTCATTTCAACAGCTGAAGATAATAAAACTTTTATTGTAAGTAAAAATAGAGCCAAACTGTTGTAATACAATCCATTGATAACTTTCAAACTATTGCTATTTTAAAGTTTTTCCTCTGTGTATATTTAATTATTGAAAAGAAGTTGCAAAAATTTTACCTGTTCCTACTAGATAAATTAAAGGTGAGAACTACCTTCTCTTCTTACAAAGTTAGGTCTCTTGCACAATAGCAGTGACTAAAATAAATGGTGCCAAATTTTTGGAGAGAGTCTTGTTTAATTCAGAATATAATTAAAATCTCATGTAGCTTTATTGGTTTTAGTATCCAGCAGAGAAAAAATATTGAAACTCCAAGAGATTTTGAATTAAATAGCTACAACAGTTTTGTTTTATTAGTTCTGACTGTGTGAAAAAAATTATAAGGACAACTTTGGAAAAATCTTGTTCCTTTAGAGCCCCAAATGACTTTTAAAACAATAAAACAAACTATAAAACCTACACGAGTGATATTAAAAATTATGTAGTTCAATAAATGTGACATTCACAAATGTGGTTGTAATTTTTTTTTAACTGTAGCAAAATGCACATGGATCTGACGATTGGATTTAGAAGAGGTAGTGTTATATAGCTTAAAAGAATTAAGTGCCACAATTTGCTGGTGAAGATTATGTAGCTGAGCTGGAATGTTATACCAATGCCTTTTAAGATGTTCATCCGCCTCCTAGCGTCTGTGGCTAAATCAAAGAAAGGGATGATGTTCCTTTTCCTATATTAGTGATTATTTCCCTAGCATTTAATATTTGTTTTTGAAAGCTTTGTAGACTTAGATCTTTTTGTTGGCTGACTCATGCATAGAATAAACTATAAACCCATACTATTTTTGAAGATGGAGAATGAAGGCTGGCTAGTAAAGGCATTAAATGAATTGTAATCTCAATTACTCGCTAGGTGAAAGGGGCAGAAAAACAAAGATGAAGGAGAAAGAGTTTGTGAGACAATAATAATCACAGTTACCAGCTTAGTTCATTGAGGTCCAAATCATTGAAGACCCAAACATAACTTCTGAAGGCATTTTTGAGCTTTAGGTGACAAAAACTGTCCTTTCTTTGTCCCTAAGTCCTGTGTTTGTCTTTGGTACATGAAAGAGCACAATTTATTTTCAGTCTCCCAGTAACTGTTTAATTTCACCATCAGGTTATGTGATGAGAATTATGGTAGGTGGAGTGGGCATATCAGATCACATATCAGATCACAGAGGGACCAATGATTCACAAACAGCCCTCCACGGATGGTTCCCAGGGGCAATGCACCACCCGAATTTGTACGCAGACTTAAATAATTTTTACCTTAAGAAATGAGATGATGCTTTCATTTAAAAAAAAAGATTTTATTGGGGAATTTGGGGAGAGGAGCAGCGTTGGGGAATCGGGGAAGGGGAACAGAAAAGTTGCTGTCCTTTTCTTCTTCAGTCTAGTTGTGGAGGACCTCGTTTCACTGGCCCATGTTGGTATTATCATTGCGCTCTTCCTGGGTGAGGCAGTTGCTCGCCAGTCATTGGACAGCCGCTCATGGCAGCTCATGAAAACTCACGCCGCTGTTGTCGAGCCCCACTACAGCCTAAGCCATTGCCGGGGACTCACAGCAGCCCAGCTCCAGGTCAAGCTGTTGTTCACTATCTTAGCAGTAGAGGGCACAGCGTCATTGGCCCTCATGTGGGATCCGAACTGGGGCCCTGCTGCTGAAAGCTGGCATCCCAAGCCAACTCTTAACCAACATGCCCCTCAGCTGGTCCTGATGCTTTAATTTTTAAACATATAATCATACTTACTTTTAAGTCTTTATATTCAAAAATTTCCAATCTACAGAGAAGCTGAAACTACTACAATGAACACCTGTATAGTCTTCACTTAAATTCACTAATGAATTAATTTTCTAATTTGGTTTATTTCCCTCTTTATATATATATACATATGTGTATATGTATATATGTGTGTGTGTATGTTGCACTATTTGAAAGTAAGTTGCAGAGATAATGAGCTTTCACCCCTAAATACATTTGCCTGCACCTCCTAAGCATAAAAACATTTACCCATACCAATCACTACTAACACAATAATGTCATCTAACATACAATTTGTATTCAATTTTGCTTATTATCTCCCCAAATGTCTTTTGTAGCTTTTCTTTTTAAATCCAGAATCCAATCAATTTGGGTGATACTATGAGATCTTGTGAAAATCCTTATCCTCAACAATATTTTACTCAGTGGTTTTGTAGTTCAATGATGATTCTTTCTTGAATGAATTATTACGTTTTCCAATTTTATCAATCTTTCTACATTTGTTAGCTGGCATTCTTCCAGCATTACCATCCACCATCCCTTTCTCCTCTGAATAAAACCATGGATAGAGATACCATGAACTGTTATAGTCAATGTGTTACAATCCATAATGTGTTTTTGATGCTTAAATCACCTCAAATTTGGCCAATGGACAACCCTTCAAGGCAGTTCCTGTTTTCTTCCCATGGTTTCTGGCACAAGATGCTTCTTGTGTTTTTCCTGCCCCAAACCTAGAATCAGCCACTTCTTCAGGAACCTGCTTTTATTGTGAATAGGTCACACATCCACATGGTTCAAGTCTCCAAATACAAAGTATACAGTACATTCTCCTTCCAACTTCACCTCTCTCTTCATAGATAGTCAGTTATTAGTTTTCTGTATATCCTTCCAGAGATAGTTTATATAATAGAGCAAAAGCACAGATAAATATTTATATCCTCTCCCAACGTTTTAACTCCAATGATAGCATATTACACTCAGTTTGTCTGTACTTGTAGCTCTTGTCTATCCTCAGATTCTGAAAGATGCCTATGACTCCACCCCAGAAAGATTAGGAAACTTTAGGCTAAGTCTTAAATGTTTCAGACGAGAAAAGTTCAAGGAGGGACTTGACCAAAGTTGTACTAGCAACACTCACAAACTATTTCCTGGACTTGGAATATTCGTCCCTCTTTAAGCTCTTTGACAACTGCTCATTTTTCAAATATCACTTCCTCGGGCTTCCCTTTCCTTAACACGTACCCTCTCCCTACTAGGTGATGTCCCCTTGTTATAAGGTTTCAGGTCATTATGTACTCCTTCCTAGCACACACATAAGTCACTATATTAAAATGTATTTCCTGTCTCAGAGAGGACAGGAACTACATCTGTCTTGTTCACTGCTGGCACACAGTAGTTGCTCAACAAAGATGTGCGGAGTGAAACTCGAACTCGGGCCATCTGGCTTGGAGTCTACTCTCCTTCCTAATGCGGTCCTGCTGCAGTCGGGGAAATAGTTCCAAGATGTAAATTTTTAAAATCTCTATAGAAAAAGCCGGGAAGTCTTTTCATTTCCACGATTAATGGAGGACCTTAGCTGAAACCGCTCACCGCGAGGTGTGACGACCGCAGGAGGGCGTCAATCAAGAAAATGCCCCCTTGCCCCGCAGGCGAGTGGAGCTGCACAGAGCCGAGGCCACACGGGGTAGCGTCAGAGTTTCAATAGAAAACACGTGCAAAACGGGAACGCGGGGCTGCGCACAACTGCGACCCCCAGGACCCGGGGACAGGAGACATGCAGCAGCCCCCTTTGGGTCGGAGAAGACTGGTCAGTTTCTCCTCCTGGAGCCATAGGACCCAGGCCTTCCCTTGGTTCCTGCCCGAAGAGGCTTCTTTCAGCCAGCGTCCCCAGGGAAGTGGCTAAGATCGGGGGCTCACAAATGAATGGGGATGGAGCGGCTAACAGTCCAGAGCACTTTAAGTCTAGTCGTCCTTACCCCACTGGAACGCAGCTAAGGGCCGCGGGTCTCGCTCCTTGGAGCTGCCCCACGACCCCAAGGCACTCGAGACCTCTCCCGCTACGAACTCCGGAGACGCCCGGGGCAACAGTCAGTGCCACCTTTACTTCAGGGAGCGCGCCAACCAGGAAGGGTACTCTCAGGCCTGCGAAGGTGCGGCCCTGACAGTGGCCTCGATGCCTGCCGTGCCGAGTGCAGCTACCCCTTGCTTGGGACCGGCTGCCGCCACTCTGGGCCCCGTCCTGGATCAGTGCCCCCCGAGTTTCGACAGAAATGCCTCTCGGCTGGAGCTAGGACTGCTTGAGTCCGTGTTCCCGGCAGCTGCTTTCTTCTCGTCACCCCCGACGAACGCGCCCTGGGCTTCCTTCGAGGGCGTCCAAACCGGGGTGCCGGGAGCCCCGACCGACGGCGTCAGCTGGGTACCAGGACGCAGGGTCCTCGGAGGCTGGGAGCTAGCGCGTCCGGGAGGCGGGGAGGTAGGCCGGCGGGGGCGGGCCAAAGGTGGGGGCGGGAGGCGGCTCCCGGGGCTCCGCGCCATTGGCCGCAGGGCCCGGCGGCAGGAAGGGGCCAGAGAGCGCGGCCCCACCCCGCGGCCGGCAGAGCCTATCGCCGGGAGCGCGGAGCGCGGATAAATGTAGCGCCGTAGCGCGGGCCGGGCGCTCTCCGAGGGACCGGAGCGCAGCGGAGCCATGCAGTACCCGCACCCCGGCCCGGCGGCGGCGGGCGCCGTGGGGGTGCCGCTGTACGCGCCCACGCCGCTGCTGCAGCCCGCGCACCCGACGCCGTTCTACATCGAGGACATCCTGGGCCGCGGGCCCGCCGCGCCCACCCCTACCCCCACGCTGCCGTCCCCCAACTCCTCCTTCACCAGCCTCGTGTCCTCCTACCGGACCCCGGTGTACGAACCGACGCCGATCCACCCCGCTTTCTCGCACCACTCCGCCGCCGCGTTGGCCGCAGCCTATGGACCCAGTGGCTTCGGGGGCCCCCTGTACCCCTTCCCGCGGACGGTGAACGACTACACGCACGCCCTGCTCCGCCACGACCCTCTGGGTAAGGCGGCCGGGGTCATGGCGGGGCCGGGCCGAGGCAGCGGCGAGGAAGGCGCCACCCGGCAGGTGGCAGCGCCCAGGAGGCGGAGGGGGAGGAGAGGGAGGTAATAGAAAGTTGTGGGAAAAGCGATTGAAAAGCTGTTCTCGGGCGCGCGCTTGGACGGGAGGCGCGGGCCCCGGCAGTGTCGGCTGGGCTGACCGCACCATGACTCAGATTGGTTTTCCTGCACCTTGCAGTCGTCGGGGCTCGAGGACCCGCGGGAGACCTCGGGCGCTGCCGCCGGGGCTGGCTGCCGAAGGCAGTCATGGGGCGCGCGTGTCGCCCTGGGTGAGGTCCCCTTAGCCGGAGGGACAAGAAAGGGAGTGCCAAGGCGCCCCGGGCCGGCCCCTGCCGGGCAAGGATAGCTGCGGGGCCCGGGTGGTTACGGGGCTGGACCTGGTTCAACAAGCTTGTGTAGTGAAAGAGCCTGACCCTTTCCGTTCATACAGGAAATCTTGAGTTCTCGATAGGAGTAAATCTGGTTTCAGAAGCTGTTAAGTGTTTTCCTGGCTGCGTGAAGCAGACCCTTCCCCCGGAGTAGTGCACGCTGCTGATTATTTTATCGACATCCTCAATACAGACATATTCAGGAAACACTCGACTTCTGATAGCCGGGATCCGTTTTTCTGATATTGTTCATTTCCTCTGTGTGGGATGTGACTTTATGGCAGCTAAAATAACCAGTTGCTTCCTTTTTTTTTTTTTTCGAGGCTGTTTTGCACCAGTCTGAAGCCTGACGTAAGCAAAATCTCGAAAAAAAAAAAAGAAAAAAACAATGCCAGCTTTCAAAGCGTTTAGGCGCAGGCCTCTAGACCCACGGACGGACGGACTGTCGGACACGTAATTGGAGTAGAAAGGGCTGCGCGGACATTGGACATACAGAATTTGCTGGGCTTGACACCCCCACCCCCCACCGCAATGTGCGGCCTAAGGCATAAGGCACCGGTGATCCGCGCTCCGGGTGGCCCTTGGCGCCTCCGGCACCTGAAGCCCCGGGGTAAATAAGGAAACGGGGCTTCTTGCATTGGGCCACCAGGGTTTTAAATATACTCGTTGTTATTGGCAGCTTTTGTAGAGACCCTGAAGACAATACTATTTTAATTAATTGACATTTTAATGTCATGATGGTATGGCTCAGTCTTCCAACCTTCCTTTCTCATTGTTAGATTGAGGGGGTGGATTATATTTTAGTTTTTTGTGTTTTTTTGAAGTTATATTTTTGATTCCAGCCTTGAGGGTTTGGTGCTGCGGCCCTGGCATGACCCTGCTGGCTTGCTGAGGCCGGAGGAGGACCCTCAACCGGGCCGGGCCTACGGGCGAACGTTTTCACTGAGCGCGCTCTGGGTTTCCTTGGGTTACTGCTGGGACTGCGCAGGAGGAAGCAAAGGGTTTTTCGAGATAGACCAACAGGAAACACATTGACGGAAATGTTGCCATAGCCCACGGGGTGGCTTTAACTGGCCGCCCCCGCGGGCTGGGTGTGAAATCAGAGGAGGCCGCGGCGCCCTCGAGCCAGGATTGGAAGCTCCGCGCGCGGCCTAACGTCCAGAGCCCAGGCTCAAGGGACTCCTGCGCAGCCTGGATCGTAGACCCCCGGGCCGGTTCCTGCCGCCGGCCAGAGGCTCCAAACACCTTGGGCAGTGTAACAGCCCGGCTGCCTTCCCAACATACACTCTCAGAGTATTTGGAAAGTGCTGTTCACCATGGGAGAGGACCTAGAGTTGCAAAAAGTTGTGGATAAATTCTAGAACGACTGGTTAAAGAGGGTCTTGGTATTTTAAGCTCAACCTATAATGGATGTTCTTTTGGGGATAAAAATAAAAAGATTTGTATGTTGGTATCTAGCTGTGGGTGTGATGGGTGTGTGTGTGTGTGTGTGTGTGTGTGTGTGTGTGTGTGTGTTTATCCAAGCGTGGTCTATGTGCATATGCAGTGACTTTGGGTGTTTCTGGGTATGTATGTGTATTGGTGGCAGTGTGTTGGGTACTTGTGTCGGTGAGTGTATATGAGAGTGCCCGGTTGGAGTGTCCTCCTGCGTCCCCTATTCCCGTTGTCACCCCCAGAGCCACGTAGATCTAGGGTCGGCCAGGCTGCTCCAGAGCCATCACTGATCACCGTTCTTGCCGCAGGCAAACCCTTGCTCTGGAGCCCGTTCTTGCAGAGGCCTCTGCATAAAAGGAAAGGTGGCCAGGTGAGGTTCTCCAACGACCAGACTATAGAGCTGGAGAAGAAGTTCGAGACCCAGAAATACCTCTCCCCGCCAGAGAGGAAGCGTCTGGCCAAGATGCTACAGCTTAGCGAGAGACAGGTGAGTGCGGGGGTCTCAGAGCGGAAGAGAGACGAGGAGCCACCGATAACTTTGGCGTGGCGCACCGCGCTATCCAACTCCTGGAGCGCTGGTTTGCTTGACCACCCGGGATGTGGTTCGCCCCTCCTCCCTAGGCCCCCGGGATCTGCCTCGCGCCTCCTCCCCAGGTCTCTCGGGATTCTGGGCCGATGGCAAGTTTTCTTTCTTTTTTCCTGTAGGTCAAAACCTGGTTTCAGAATCGTCGAGCTAAATGGCGAAGACTAAAACAGGTATCCACATGGAAATAAAATCACAGTATCCACTGTTTCTATGGAAATACATATTTTTATCATGTTATCTCAATGCGAGGCCTGTTATAGGTTGTATGCAAAAGTCATTTGAGAGACTATTTAACCTCTTCACCTTGATTAAAAAGGCAAATAGTTTTGCTGAAATTCAGGATGAGTTGCTCAGGTGGCAGTAATGCTAAAAGCACCTAATGCAGTTCCTATATCAATTATGCTTGGGTTTTCACACACTGGCTAGTAAAACTCCTGGCTAATTGTTTTATAAACCCCATATGTTGTTTATCTAATTAACGCAGGAAAGATAAAGTAATTGACAGTAAATGACTTAAGCAGTTATCTTTGGGAGAAAATTGTTTCTTTTATTTACACAGCCATAATAAAACCAGGCAGAGCTCAAGGGTAAATATAAGGAAATAAACACCTTTAAGTTTTGTTTGCACTGTTTTTTAGAAGAATTAAATATCAAAGACTTTAACAGTTATTTTCCATCTAATGCAAGCTCTTAAAATGAATATAGAAACATATAAGGGAATATCCAAGCCTGTTTGGAAAGTGTATAAACTTTCTAACAGTCTTTCTTCCAGTGACCTTGTTACGCAATATGTGATAAAAAGTAAAGGCTAATTCAGTTTTAAAAGACGCTTTATTGACTTAAAGCTAAAGATTTGTTTTTGATGTCCTAATCTGGATATCTTCTCCAAATTTAGCTGACAATTGATGAATTGTTCATTTGCCAGTATATGTACAGTTTATAGTAAGTAAAATATTTTTGAAACAATATGAGTGGGGAAATTGAAACCAGTGTGCATTTTTAAATTTAGTGATCATAAAACTTGTTCATTAAAAACAAGATGGTGTCATAAAGAACATTTTGAAGCAGGAAATAAAATTTCCATGATTTCATTATTGTAACAGGACTTAAAATTTTTCAGGTTCCCTCTCAAATTTCTGAACTTGTGCATATTACCTGTTACATAGTTGCAAGCCTGGTGAATCTATTATTCTATAATGCTTTAAAAAAGAAATCCTAGAAGTATATCATGGTATTTCTAAATAGTGTTTATGTCCGTTTTAGACAAACACAGGATTAAAAATTCACTAACTCATTTAGTTCTTGGTCAAAACCATTACTGCAGTTTACCAGGGACTTTTAAAGTAGTGGTTTCTATATAATATGGGACTATTTCCCAGAAATTTACTGTGGATTTTAAGTAAGTTTTACTTGTTTCCCTTTTTAGTTGGCAACATTCTTCCAGCTCTGCATTTATTTCTTTGCCCTGATTTTGTAACCTGCTACACATATTTATGGGTTTATGTGTTTATAAACTTATTTCAGAAAATGTGTGAAAAAGAATTCAATCTAATAATTTTGAAAGTTGACTGTTACTAATTAGCAGTCACATTTTTAAAATGTCTCCAAGGCCCTGTTAATTGGCATGGTTTAAATATTTGAAGAATGAAGATAGTGTGTATCTGCAGTGATCTGATTTGTTTTCCCCCCTAAACTTTTAAGAATCTTGAGATCATGTGTTTCGGCTGGAGTTAAGTGTTCATTTGACATAATACATTTACAGTTAAATTTGTGATTGGTTGTTCTAACTTGGCAACAGTATAATCTTTCTCTGATATGACAAGAACTTTACTTCTTCCAAAGTGAGAAAGAATATGTATTTTCTGGATAAAAAGATTTTAGCAGAGAGCAGTTGATGAATTGAAAATTAAAAAGATGGTGAAAAGACATTTTGATTTGTGTCTCACCCTTGCCATATTTCATGATCCTGTCCATCTTCATCCTCCATTCAGGAGAACCCTCAAAGCAATAAAAAAGAAGAACTGGAAAGTTTGGACAATCCCTGCGACCAGAGGCAAGACTTGCCCAGTGAACAGAATAAAGGTGCTTTGGATAGCTCTCAATGTTCGCCTTCCCCTGCCTCTCAGGAAGATCTTGAATCAGAGATTTCAGAGGATTCTGATCAGGAAGTAGACATTGAGGGCGATAAAGGCTATTTTAATGCTGGATGATGACTCCTGACATTGGCACGTTCAGAAAACTGGAGTTGGGGATAATATTTGCTACCAAAAATTTCCATAAGGAGAACTGGAAAACTATATGAGAAATGGAATCAATTTTCTGGTATTCCGGAAACCAGACATATTTGGTGCACTGGTTAAATAACAAACTCACATTTAAACCTTAATTTCAACTGAAAAAATGGTTTATATGTTGATTTTAGGTTGTATGATAAAGGGACTCTTCACTGATTAAATTCACCCCCTTTTTAAAATAAATTGTGTTTTTCTATTTATAAAAAATAATTTTGAACTTTTGTGTTAAAATTTTAAGTTATAACTTGAAAGATCTTAATAGGGTCTTCTTGAATAAGTTTTCTATAATTTGTAGCTTCATCTCACTTATTGGAAAAGCAAAGGGCACGCCAAATGCAGAGGTATGACTTGGAAAGGGGTTCACATTTCAGGCAGTCTTGGAATATTTTGAAGGGAAATATTCTTGACTTTTATATTACATTCTTATACTGCAGCTTTAAATCCAAAAGCAGCTCAGAATTCATGTCTCTAGGATGTGTGTGTGCTTTTTGTCAGAGAGATAATAATAATCTTAAATGCTTGTTTTGTACTATCACGTAGTACCTGTTTGACTAAGGTGTTACGGATAGTACTGTCCAAGCAGATAAACTGACTTGGTGATGACTAAAAATAATCACACGTAAACTAGAAGTAGCAAGTTAATTAAATGTAAGTAGATTGTAGATATTGTGTTTTATATCAAACTGTTTATATGTGTATATATATAATTGTTCACTGTAAAAAAACATTGCCAAGATTTTTTTTTTTTAATGAGTAACTTGCCTATAAAATAAATTCACGGACTTCTTTAGATCTCTCATGCTTTGCTTAAAACAAACCCACACCTCTCACAGCGCTGCCTCCGGATGCCCGGCGTGGTGCTGGGCGCCGGCGGGTCGGCGCTGGAGCCTCAGGTAGTGCGTCTCCTCTCCCTGGGGCTCCTGCAGCCCTGAGCGTCCCGGGAGCGCGGTTCTGGTCCGCGGCAGGTGGCAGGTGGGTGGGCACCTGGAAGGTAGGTTTGGACCTTTCCCTGGGTGTGCGCCTGGGGCAGCGGGGAAAGTTCCGGCCCGCAGACCCCGAGCTCCGCAGGTCGAAGCTCCGGTCGCGCCAGGCGGCTGGAAGAGCCCCATCGATTCGCCTGGCTCGCCAGCCTGGCCCTGCGGCGCTGTCCTTGACCGGCGTGAGTCAACACTGCGTCAGTTGAGCCTGGGGGTTGGGGGTGGGGGGGGTCTGCTAAGCGGGTGGGGGCCCCTGGCCGGTAGGAGCGGGAGGCAGTTAACGCAGGGTTCTCACGCCTCTGGGCTTCAGAATCACCGGCAGAGCTTACAAAACTCTTTACCGTCCCAAGCCCCAGAGTTTCTGATTTGGTAGGGCCGGGGTGTGACAGGGAATTTGCATTTCTAACTAGTGCTCAGGTGATGTCAAAGTTGTTGGGAGGGGGAGTATCTTTGTTTTGAGAACCACCGCTGGTCTAAGGTGGAAGCAGCAGAAGCAGGTGGGCCTGCGTTTCTCCCTCCCTCACCTGCTTCCCTCAGGTTACTCCTGATAGAGGCTGGGAGGACTGAGGGAGGAAGAGGGTAGCAGGGCCTATCCAGGGTGGTGGGAGCCAGAGTTTAATGGTTGACAGAGGAAGCAGGGTTGAGGAAGGGGTATTGTGAGATGAGGGAGAATGAAAGTGCTGAGGTCAGGGAGGGTGTGGGGCTGAGAGGAAGGGTGCGCTGAGGTGGACTGAGCTTTCTGGCTGGTATTGTTATCCTGCATCTAGCTGCTTGCCTAGCTGAGCCATCAAGGTCCCTGGCATTCCAGGAAAATAAGAGAAACCTGTGAGGGGAGAGGCCCAGAAATCTCTTCTCTAGCCTGTGCTCCAGGGAGGCCTCCAGTTGTGGAGCTGGGTGCCTCCTCGTTGAGGTCCTGTGAGGGAATGGCTCAGATCCTGGCCTGGCTGACCAGGGCTGTGACTCCCCAGATATGGATGCTCAGGTGAAGATAGAGTGAAAATGTCATTGCTCTTAGGGGTTGTCACATCCTGGCTCCTTAGAGTCCAAGAAGGCCCCTGGAATTGCCTGTGAATTTAGGTTCCTGAGAAAATTAGTACTGGGTCCTTAAACAGAGAGGTGTGTATAGGCCTGGAAGTTTACAGATTTGGGTTGGAGTTTTACAATAGTTCTTGGTCTCAATTCTCTCATCTGTAGAATAAAGATGGTCTAGTTGATCTACATGACCCCTTCCAACCTTCAAATTTCCAGCTTATTCAAGCTCTTTATCATTATTGTTCTCCTTGTTTTTTGTGTCTCCTCAATGTTGGAGCCCAAAGTAGACATCCAGTGGGAGGGTCTCCTTTCCCATCAGGCAGGCTCCAAGCTCTGTGACCCTGCCTGACAGGTTACATCAAGGTTTCAAAGGTCATAATCTGTCTCGTTTGAAAATGGAACTGTCTGCATCAGAGTTTGAAAGAATGGGAGGTTTGTGGGCCTAATATTGAATTAAAGCAATCCTGAAATCACTGTGTGTGTGTTTTGCTCCTGGAGATAACCTCTGGTTAATGTTTATTCTTGAGAATAACTATATCATGACTATCAAGCAGAGAAATGTGGGCTTATGTGTTGATGGACACTAGAAAAGTTGAGGGGTGAAATCTGGTTTTAAAGTAGACAATCCTTGAAACCAGGCTGTTTTCCAACTTAAAGCTATTCCTAACTCTGTTCAAGTTGCTCATATTCTGAATCGGAACATGTCCTTAAGAATCAAGAGCGTGTTAACTGGAGGAAGTACAGTGTTCTCAGGACACAGGTTGGCATTAACTGTTGTCTGAAGTGCCGTGTTGCAGATTGCCAATGAATATTTACAAATTCTTCCTACAATCCAGGCATTTTTCATTTGTTTGTCTTTTGGCTATTTCATGTTGAAGCAGCATGTATGACCTTTACAGCACAACTCCTGTCTTGTTTTTAACTCTTTTTATCAGGAGATTCAACTTGAAAACAGTTATCATTTAGCAGAAAGACAAACAGAAAAGCACATTTTTGTAAGCAAAACGTTAATGATTGGAAGAATTGCCCTAATTTCACCATGACAGTGTGTGATTAATCCCCTGGGTCATGTACTTATATTTTGAGTTATTCAGTTCGTTGGTCTTTGATATTCAGAACGCTTTCTAACTTAATAGGTTATTGATTTTGTTGGATGATGTACTTTGACTCTTTAAACAACATCACTTTTAGGGATAACTAGCATGTTGTGGAGTATTTTATTTAGAGAACCATTGCATAGGTTTCTTTTTCTTAGTTTTTATGGTTTTCTCAGGGTGAAAGCTGATAAGACATCTTGTGGGAAAAGAGGAAACCATCTCTGATAGTGAAAGTACCTATTCTCTTTCAACATTTCTAACAACCTTTGTGTGTGTGTGGTTTCATTGCTGTGAATATTCATTTCTAGTTAATGGGGGAAGGGCAGGGGTTCAAGAAAATGTATTTGGTCTTGGGGGAAATGCATTCTGCTGGGATAGACTATACTTACCAAAATTCCTATTCCAGCTATACTGTCTTATGAAAGACGACACAAACTCAAAAGCTCACCCTTTCAATTTTTCTTTACAATCTAATAATCAATGTGATTGATTGTGATATTTATGTGACTACTGACGACATGGGACAGAATGTGGAAAAGCAAGCATGCTTCTAAATGGTTAGGAGTTTTGTATCTTGTAGTAAAAATAATCAGATGTCTTAACATTTATTTTCTATCCCTTGGGTTTCATGAAATTCTAGCTGGGCTCTGTACTTGTCTAATTTTGTCCCTTGATACATGTTTTGGTATTGTTAAATTTAGATGGGAAGCAGTTTGGAGATTCCTCCCCCATCCACCAAAATATCTAGATCCAAGGTCTACAGAATAGCAGCTCCCAGTTTAGATGGGGCTGTGGGGAACCCTATCTCAGGAATTACACCTTTGTGGATAAAAGCAGGGCTGGAAGTAAAGCAGACAAGCAGACAATCCCCTACACCTCTCTCACTGGTTAGGGGCCTTGGGAAACATGAATTCTAGTCTTAATTCCTCAGAGAGGTTGGCGGCTCAACTGAGAGGAGGCATCAGTACCTGGCACACAGGGGCACCAAGTGTTAGCCACAGAGGCTAGAAAGCCCCAACAGATTCCTTTATTTTGAGGCAGTGCTTTGATTTGCTGTTGCAGGCAGGGAAACGTCCAAAATCGGATGTACACAAATCTTTCCAGACAATAGAGAGGGCTGCGGGGAGGAGACCTTGGAGCTGGCAAAGGCATTTCCTGTCTGCGGAGGATCTTGACTTTGGAGCATCCGGCGGTAGCCGTGAGGTTTTCGAGGTGGCTGAACCCTGTCCTGTGTAGCTACTTAAAAAAAAAAGAAAAAAGTTACTGCCAATTTCAAGCTATTTTCCATATGAAAGCCAATGAGACAACTTATCATTTAAAAAAATTGTTTTAACCTATTTTCTAACCATTAGAGTCTTCTAATTTAGAAGGGGAGTTTGGTATCATTCAAAATCTTAAATATTAAAAAAAGAATCGCGTCACTCTGTAAAGACAACTACAAGAAAGGGTTAACGGAACCCTCCCCCCCCCCCCCCCCCCCGCAATTCATTGATACTTGCCGGAAGAGAAATACCTATCGAGTTTGTCTCCACGAACGTGGTTTATATTTTTCTTCTAGTTGAATTATGCCCTTCGTTCTTCCTCACCTCAACTTCTTTTTATTCATTCCCTTTGTCCTCCCCTCGCCCCACCTCAGGATTCCTCTTCCTCATTCAGTTTATTTCCCCATTAAGAACAGAAAATGACTAGATCCAACTCTTCACACATCACAATTAGGGCCAAGATTTTCTTCAAATATATAGAAAATTTCAGCTTGCAGATGGAAATTCGAAGTTTGAGAGAGATGTTGGAGTCCCAATACACTGCCCCATCCTTCCAAGGGCAGTTCTTGAGCTTCTTGCCCCCTTTGGACCAGGATAAACAATGATAGTGATAATAATAATAATAATAATAATAATAATAATAATAATAAAAGACTAATAATACTTGTTCCATTAGTGGTCTAGCCCTCAGTAGCTTTTTTCCCCCTTTGGACCAGGATAAGCAATAGTAGTGATAATAATAATAGAAAAGAAATAATACTTGTCTCCTTAGGGATCAAGCCCTCAGTAGCACCGGGGTGAGTGGAGCTGCTGCAGTGAGGTGCAGGCACAGGATGCCATGGCAGAGCCTTCCAGAAGCTCCTCACACACGGAGAAGGAAACGGAATGCTGTTCCAGGAAGAGGAATGATAGTGTTCACAGACCTGGAGGTGACAGAGGGCAGGGGATAAGTATGACTAGAACCTTCAGAGGTTTTTTGAGTTCCAGAATGTTGGAGAAAGGATTAGAGACTGCTGTTCTCCCCCCCTTTAGTTACACAGATCTCTTTGCTTTTGTGTTTGTATTATGGTTTCCTAGATCTGGAATTCTCAGCCCCCAGCCAGCCTCATGACTGGTTCCTCACCTCCTTCAGGCTGGGCTTTCCCTAGATATCCTATTTGAAACCACAACCCCATCTCTTCCTTATTTCCCGTCCACAGTTTAATTTTCTTTATTTTCCTTATTACAATTGGGTATAATATTTTTACTTATATTTATCTCTCCTCATTGAAATGTTAATGCCGCGAGGGTAGGGATTTGTGTCTGTTGTGTCTACTACTGTCTATATCCAGCCTGACACATAATAGGTGCTCCATATGTTTAAATGAATGAATGAATGAGCATATCTTGAGCACTAACTATGTATTAAACATCATATAAGTC